TCTCCACGTCTCCTTAAATGCCCGCCTGTCTCTGTGTCTGTGTTTGTTTCATCTCCCAGCTCACAACCCCGACTCCCTGTCCACTCACCTACCAGCCTCCCCTAGCATCCCTCTTTTCCTCTCAGACACCTGCATCTGGGGGCAAATACCCAGCCCTACTTACTCTCCTTTCCAGACTTCCTAAAAGGAGACATGGTCCCCGGAGGGTTAGTCTCACTCACCCTCGACGCCTACCGCCCTGGCCGGCCGGGTCTGAGCCTCCGGTGCTCACCCTCCCCGACTCCTGAACGTCCCCGCACTCCATTCTTGTGTCCTTTCCAGCTGCTGTCCATGGTTGACCCCCTTTGTGCCCTGGGAACTCCTCCCTGGGGACTACGTGTAAGAGCCCCGGCATGAGTGACCCATGGCCCCACGATGGGTCCTGCCTGCCATGCAGGGACCCTGGCATAGGGGCCTGGTCTTGGAACTGAGCTACCCCATGTTCCCCTGACTTTCAAGCCAGGCGTAAGGGAAGCTTCCAGGCTTCCTGGGCTCAGCCCCTTCCCTATCCCCAAGCCCCTCAGTGAAGAACCCCAGCTCCTGGGGCCCATTCTGGATTTGGGCACTTACAGGCCCCCTGCCTCCTTTCCCCCGTCTGGTTTTAAACAGGTGCCATGTAGCGTTCACTTCTCCAGCCTGGCCGATTTTGGAAACGTGGAGCTTCGGGGACCTATGGGTCATACAACTTCCCTCTCTTTTTATCACAGCTCCCCAGTGCCTCGCCCCCTTGTGCACCCCAACTCAAGAGCCTGTCTCAGAATCTGTCGGCCCCAGGGCCTTGGAGCCACTGGTACAAGGTCACATCATGAACAGCTAACACGCACCAAGCAGCACTTCCAGGAACAGACTCGCGTGCGTTTATTCATAATAGAAGCACCTCTGCTGTTTGAGGCGAGGCCTATGATAAAGCTAAGAACAGTGGGGCTCAGAAAGGGTAAGCTCCTTGCCCAAGACCACACAGCTGGGAAGTGACCATGGTAAGACCTGAACCCAGGTTTGCCTGTGGTCAGAGAGAGACTGGCAGATGCTGGCTGCTGCCGGCTTTGGAAATAGAAGAAGGGGTCACAGTCCAACAAATGTAGCTCCTCTGGAAAAGGCTCGGGAGCAGGCAGAAGAAATCAAGTCCACACCTTGATACTAGCCCAGGAAGACCCATTTTGGACTTGTGACCTTTATAACCAGAGGATGATAGATTTGTACCGTTTTCAGCCATGAATTTGGTGGTAATTTGTACAGAGAGCAGCTGTAGGAAACTAACACAGATTTTTGGTCTCATCCTCTACCCTGTGGTGTTCCCACCAGGCAGATGGGCTGGAGTTTGGATCCAGAGTTTCCTTTCTGGCTGTGCTCACCTGAGCCAAGTCATTGTTTTCCAACAAACATTCACTGAATGTAGACCACATGCCAGAAGCCGGGCTGGAGGCGGTGGGGTGGGGGAAAGTGTCTCAGCACAGCGGCCCCCCTGAGCCTGATGTTCCTACCGGGGAGGATAGTCGCCCAGCTTCTAGGATTGGTAGGAAGATGCACTCAAGTCACTCATTCATTCAACAGGTGCTTGTTTAGCATCTGTGACGAACCAGGCATTGTTTTCAGAAAAGACTCAAGTTGCCACTTACAGCTCTTACTCTGCACGTATAAACTCATGTAATCCTCTTAAAGACCCTGTGGGGGTGCAGTACGGACACTCCCCTGCGCTGAGGGGCACAGAGAAGCTAAGGCATTTGCAGAGCACACAGCCAGTGTGTGGCTGGTGGCACCTGAGCCCAGGCAGTCTGGCTCCAGAGCCACTCCCACGCCCGCCCCCGTCTATTTCTCACTCCTGCCGGGTCCCTCCACCTCAGCCCTCACCCCCGACACCCTTCCCCTCCCCGTCAACCAGGCACTTGCCCAACCGTGACCATGATCCCCCCTAAGCGTCGCCTTCCCTTTGTCACAGGCGTTGGCCAGAGTCTGGCTTGTGACGGCCTCAATGCCACCATGCACTGTGGCTCAGGGGAGGTCATCCAGATCCAGGATGCCTTCTACGGGCGCCAAACTCCCTATTACTGCATCCAGGATGCTGCGCGGCCCTCAGACCTGGAGGAGGGATGCGGCTGGCTCAGCGTCAAGGACGAAGTGGCAGGTAGGCCCCAAGGACAGCTCTGGCTGTGGGGGCAAGGCAGGTCATGGTGCCCCATGCCTAGCAAAGGGTTTTGGAAGGCTTGAACCATCTTCACATCTGACCTTGGGCCTCCAACATTAGGAAAATGGGGCCGTCTCTGCCCACAGCACCATGCAGGGAAGCAAGGGGGCCAGGGCTCGCCTCCTCACCCAATGCCACACCCTCCCCTGCGGGCCAGGGGGGCATTCTGCTCCCCACTCCACTTGGTCGCAAGAAACATTGCTTGCTTGCTTTTTTTTTTTTTTAATGTTTATTTTATTTTTGAGAGAGAGAGAGAGAGAGAGAGAGAGAGAGAGAGAGAGAATGAGCTGAGGAGGGGGAGAGAGAGAGGTGAACAGAGGATCCAAAGCAGGCTCTGCACTGACAGCAGAGAGTCCTATGTGGGGCTCAAACTTACAAACCATCATGACCGGAGCTAAAGTTGGATGCTTAACCACCTGAGCCCCCAGGCACTCCACCTTCTTTCTTTAAAAAAAAATTGTTTATTTCTTTATTTTTGAGAGAGACAGAATGTGTACGAATGAGCAGAGAGAGAGGGAGACAGAGAATCCTCAGCAGGCTCTGTATTGTCAAGGCAGAGCCTGACTTGAGGCTCAAACTCATGAATCATGAGATCATGACCTGAGTGGAAATCAAGAATCAGATGTTGAACTGACTGAGCTATCCAGGCGTCCCGCTTTCTTTTTCTTATTTAATTTTTAAAAATGTCCAAATACTCCAAACATATAGACAATAAAAGCATTTCGGGGTACCGGGGTAGCTCAGTTAGTTGAGCACCCTACTCTTGGTTTCAGCTCAGGTCATGATCTCACGGTTCATGGGTTCGAGCCCTGCATTAGGCTCTGGGCAGACCCTGAGAAGCCTGACTGGCATTCTTTCTCTCTGCCCCTCCCCCACTCACACACGCGTGTGTGTGTGTGTGTGTACATGTGCTCTCGCTCTCTCTCTCAAAATAAATAAACTTAAAAAAAATATTTCGGTGAATTCCCATAGACCTCCTACCCATTGTTGCTAAATCCTGATGACATTATTCCATATTTGCTTAATGTCTCCTCATTACACAAACGACGTGACTTTGAATTTTGTATTATCCACTGTGATACACATACCAGTTCGTTTCATCTATTGTATAACTACACCATAATTCGTCTCTTTC